AAACCGGGATAAGCATAGCCTCAGAAATCACAAAATGTCCCATTAGGCGAATACTAAATTCACACTCTTTACATACTGTCAGTTAATACTATTTTTCATCAAATTTCAAGATTTTATTTAGAACTTCATGGGATGCGCAATAGACTTACCTCCACGTGGTGCCCACTGGGCAACGTATATTCATAGGACAGAAAAGTCTATTATCTGGCAATCGACTTCTAACTTCCAACTATCATGGCCGGACTGTTTGTCATATTCGACCCCTTCCACAGTACTCATCTTACTGTATGTCATATTCGACCCCTTTCACAGTACTCACCTTTCCATTTGCTCTACCTTTGTGTCTGTAGGCTTCTCTAAATGGCTAATGATAACTATCAAAACGCGTGTCAATTGAAATAGATAAATAAATAAACTTAATAAGAACGAGGCAGACTGATTCAAACGAATCCATCTGCAAGGGAACAAGGGAATCCAGGTGGTAAGGCAAGAAAGTGCACAAGCATGTGTGCATGAGTGTGTATGTGTGTGTATTTCGAGACTGCTATTTATAAGTTGAAGTCTGTGTGCTTGCGAATCAACGCCATGACCTAAACAAAGTTGTTGACTGCTAACCCGTGAGGTGCTCGGGCAGACAACTGAATATTTATTGATGAGAGTACCACACACGGACCTTATAATTGAAATGTACAGCGTTAGCAATTATATGCTCTGGCATACTCACGCAGCCATAAAATTACAAAAGCGTCAAGTTTTCGGGCAGGCAAAGGAATAGTGAATGTAAACAGGATACCGGAAACACGAACATGGAACTAGTTGCTGTTTTAAACAAGCAAAGGCATGGCAAACTGATAGTAAGAATGGGCACATTTATGCAATTAGGGGAAGTAGAAACAAAACCTACGATAGCTTAAAACGAAAAAACAAAATAACTACGAGAGATAAAAAGTAATTTTTCAAAAATCAGTTAATAAAGATGCGGGAAGATTTCGAAATCAACTAAAATGTCTGAAAGACGACAAATAAATGCCTAATGATGTCTAAACAATTCGAATTTGAAAGAATAAAAAGAACTTACAAACACCGACAAAAAGGAGTTTGAGAGAATCTGAGAGAGCAGATTTATCCTTTGGAAAGTACCAAATAACCTTGCAAGTGACGTTGTTAGCTCCCGGTACAGTCACAATAGGTCCATACAAATGGGGATTAGAATTATCATAACATGTGGCAGCAATCTAAAGTGTGAAAATTATTTTAAATTAGTTAAATAAAATCATAAGCACATAAGAAAATGAAGTCTTCACGAATACTAGCCTGGGAAATCGTCTCTCCTTGATCATTATGGAGTGAACAATCAAGAGCAGCACATTCTGACCGGGAATTAAAAGGGATCTTGGGTAAATTTAAATGCTTAAAGGTGTACAGAAGAGCAAGTTTTTCTTTTTCCAAAAGATCGAATGCAAAAGACGCTCTTTCAACATCTTCCTTAACTTCTCCAAATGTAAGCAAGTATGCTGAAACACCACGAACACTAATTTCTTTGCTTGGTATTGTTACTAAAGAGAGAAATATAAAAATAACATCAAAATGAGACAAGCAATGAACAGACAATTTAAAGCGCAACATTATAAACAGCCTAGATAACTAACCATTATATATTGATGCTTCAGAGAGGAATATATTCGGGGCCAAAATTACAAATCCTAATAAAAATCTTGAAAAATGTAGACTAATACGGAGAGGCATAATCCACGTTACCCTAAGAATATGATTAAAGATAAGATTGGAATTGAGATAATACAATAAAATACCACTAAAATTAAATGGATATTTCAAAACAAAGCGCAAAACACGATGAGCAACAAATATAATGGAATTAGTGAAAATAGTGCAATTGCAATAAACTTATGAATATAGATAGATTTATGAAAACACATGGATTGAACATATTAAAAAAGGGAAAATAGTAATAAGCAAAATGTAATGCACGGGATTAATAGGCAAAATAGCACAAGCCGCCTTCATCGATTTGATCATTAGTTTATTTAAACGTTATATGTAATCTAAAAAGTTTAATAAAAAAGCTATATCAATAAACAACATTTTACGAATAAAAAATATATTACAAGATTCAATATTAATTATTAAAAGTATCTTAGATTTACATATACTACTTATCACAAATATTTGCTCTTATCATTTTTTATTTTTAAAATTAATTCGAACATAATATTGTAAATACATAGATAATTTCTCTGATTAATTTTCCCATATCATCTGACTCCGATTTCATCTCAGAGATTGGTTTGTTATATTGGGCATCCGTTCTCCAAACATGTTTCCTGATTGTTTAAAAATTTCTGTCTATTGATAGTCAGTCCGGGTAGCTCAGTCGGTTAGAGCGTCGTGCTAATAACGCGAAGGTCGAGGGTTCTTTCCCATCTCTGGCCACACCCATTTATTGTGTGCGATAGACTTACCTCCACGTGGTGCACCCTAGAAAACGCATACTCATACAGCAAAAATGTCCAATAACCGGCAGTTGACCTCTAACCTCAAACTTCCATAACCCTTCTGTATGTCATACTCGACCCCTTCCACAGTTTCTAACCTATCCTTTTCTCTTCCTTTGTGTCTGTCTATCTGTTACATCTGTGAATCGTTTTTCTTCCCATCTGTCGGATTTTTCTCACTTTAATGTTCCTCCCTTCTGTGAAGCCCCAAGTCAACTAAAGGGCTAATGATAACTATCAAAATGCCTGCCATTTGAAATAAATAAATAATAGGCAATAACAGCCCTAAGTAGATGT